GACAAATTTAGCTTGGTGTACTAAGCAAAAATATTGGTGAGGACCTTTATATATAATCTTAACTCTAATTCTAACCCATCTGTTAATTCCATGCAAAACCAGCCAGTTAATACATTATCTCTTGTCAGGGAAATCTCTATTCGGGGAATGAGTTCGGATAAATTAATATAGCAACACGTTAGATTAGAAATTCTGAGTTTACATTATTTAATTAACTTCGATATAAACGCATTTTTTAATATTGATATCATGTCTGATTTATTGGAATAATAAAGTCTCTTCTTTTAATATATCAAATACAGTTTAACGCAGAATTGATTCACAAACACGAATGAAAATTCTATAGCGATAACACAAAACACACAAATGGAGGTTAGTTAAATAATAAATGGCCTCGGTAAGAATAAATCTATGATTTAGTGTTAGACAAAAGCCTTTTATTGTTTACACACACAAACGCAAATAGAAGTCATTAACGTTAACGTTAACTCTGTTTGTCAATATCGATATGGCATTGGACAATAAAACCAGCTTATTTATCGCTATATATAATTCATTGGAGCACTTTTACACTACGTACATAAACATCTTTTAACATAATGATAACAACATTAAAATAGAAGTTCTAATCACAAAATCTGTACTGGACGGACGCAGAAATTAACTCCCACGTTAATTTACCGTTACCCATCATTTCAAAGTTTTAAATAAAACACTGATTTATAATTCATTGTAGTGAGTGCGTTTTTTATCGGATATGGGATTAGTACTAAACATTCGCCATTTTGTCACACTCTCAGAACCAATTAGATACGTAATCAGGTTGGTTCTGAATATTCAGACTACACACTATCGGAAAATCAGAAATAAATCTGGATATAGAAAGGAGTCTATGCTACACAGTCGGTAACCATCATTTAATTACCTTTCTTCTTTTTAAACTCTTCCATTCTTCTAACCTTTATCGCTTTCAACAACAGCACGACACACAAGTTTTCGCCGTACCTGGGACAAACAAGCATACGAACAGCGTGCACGAGATCGTGCTCGTCGTGCATAACAGCTAGAAGAGGAGGAAGAGCAAAGATGTAAAGGTCTAAAACCTAAACCAGCTGATGATGTTTTGGATGAAGAGGGACCTCGTGATTTGCTTAACTCGAATAGAATCCAGTTGGTTCAAAGCACTAGTATATTGCCTCGAAACAACCAGGATATTATTGTAAGTGTGCGATTGTGTGGTCAATCATTTGGATCACGTTAATGGAAAAAAACGTAAGTATACGTGAGAGCTTATTTGATGTGGATTTGGTGTTTTATTATGTTCTTGCAATTGGTAGGGAGAATAGGAACATAAAAGATTGGTCGAAGACAATACTTAATTTTTTATTCCTTTTTGAAAGTAGAGCGTAGTACATTGGATCAAGTACAAAAACGACCGGATCGAAAAAAAAAAGTTAAGAAACAACAAGATTATGATTTCGAGGCGAACAAATGCGTCAGCAAGAAGAGGAGAAATAGAAACGAAAAGAAAGAAAAAGGCAAAGAAATCTAAAGAGAAAGGGTGATGAGGGTGAAGGATTTGATCCGAAAATGGCAAAGTTGATGGGGGGTATGTTATTGCTGAATAATGCGTTGCTAAATTATTATTTGAAAAAAGGTTCGGAGGATTTGGACCAACAAAAGTTTCAGTGTTAAAATATTATTCAAGAGGGGAAAATTAATGAAAGTGACTTTAGAAACAGAAAATCGAAATTGATCGAGTATCTCGATGAAGTCGTGTATATATCAATAAAATGAAAACAGGTGCTTAGATCTTTCTTGGAGCACTAATTAAAAATGTC